AAAAATGTCAGAAATGCTTTCTTTGTGGTCTATTTAGTGTGATTCATGCCTCGGAAGCAGAGAGCAGAGAGTCCTGGGTTCGATTCCCAGAGAAACCACATGCTTGGCGCCTGCTGGGTGCAGTCTGTTAACAACAACTCTGCTGTTTACAAAAGAATTTCCAAAATATGGGATCAATATAGTTCAAAATTATCATTTTTTTCTTTAAATGACTAACAACTGGGCCACATGTGGTCCCCGGGCCACGATTTTAATCCACAAACTTTTAGGTTTTAAAGCTGTAGCCTGATGACTGACTTGACTTTTTTTTACTCCTCATTATCACCTCTAAATGATGAAGCATGACCAACCGAGAAAAAAAAAAACAAAAAACAAAGAGATAGTAAATAAACAGCAGTTGCTTTAGTTACGAGAATGTAACACATAAAATCTCCAAGTGAGAACAAACAGAGGGAGAAAAACAAACAGCACACTGATAAAAAATGAATAATGTGAGCTGACCAACAACGGTGGACAGTGAAAAATGGAGTGTGGCACAGCAATAAAACCATAGAGATTAAAAGTTTTGCTAGTAGTGCTTCTCTGTGTCACTAGCTAAGAGTTTTACAATCAAAACAACCTAATTCATTGACTTTAATTAGAGCCCTAGTTTCAGGCAGCTAGAACATTCTACAGACAGCAAACACTTCTTAAGGTTGGATAATGATATGAGCATGTGGGTTCAAAATTGGTGAAAGAAAAACGTTTCCATGTTGTGTTCTGGCCGACACTGGTCAGCTGTAATGCTCAGCTGGTTATTTGGCAGATATGAGTAAAATAATTAAAGTTTGTGTTTATAGTGACCTTTTAAAAGAAGGTCAGAGTTGTACAGGATTGACTGCATAGGACATATATTGGACAAACACAATGCTTTTGGTTTGGATTTTTTTTTGTTCACTATTATATTAACCACATTCAAATTAAATGAAGAAAATATAAAATCCTCACTATTCATGCCACTTCAGTCAACTTAGACACATGAGAGGTGAAGATGTGCTGAACACTGAATGGCAAACTACGTGTTTTTAATGGCTACTTAACTTGATTGTATTGTACAAGAGGATAGTAAATCAGCTAACAACAGGAACAGTTCACTTTATTTATTTTTCAACATAATTATCAAAGGATGATCAGGATCTCACTGTGTCATGGACTTACTGTGATATCAATGTGAATGATATGGATCTCCACGTTGTCCCCCGTGACAAAGCTGGTCCAGCAGCCGGGCAGCATCTCGGTCACACTAAACCAACGGTTGTCGTTGTGCTGTCTGGGATCACACGTTTGACTCGGGGCTGAAAGAAATCAAGCGACAAAAATGATTAAGCAGTGTCGTAATCCAGTTACAGCCGACAATTCCATTCAATCAGCAGTGAGGTCGGTGTTCAGAGGCAAGGCATTATTAGCACATCAGATGCCATCAAATGCCAAGTGGTGTGTTTTGATAACTATATATGAAACAATCACGTCTGTTCAGACAAGTAATTAACAGACAGAATGATCAATTTCCAACAGATTGTGTGTCTATTACTCATTATGAAAGCCGTTTCCTGCCTCAGAGGAAAGACGGTCAATTTGTGGGTAGAACTACATTGTTTAAAAAAAAAAAAAAAAAAAAAGGCATCTGGCGGTTCACGTTTATCAAAAGTGTCAGGACAGCATGCTGCAGTAATCCATCAAACCTGCTCACCATGCTGTCTGCTGCGAGCCTGCTGTTTAACCTGGAGATCCATGTTTCAGAAGGCTGGATTAATTGAGCTCAGGCTTCATGGTCATGGAAGAGGTTGGGAATAAATGCTTGGTTTTTTGACCCTGTGGTGTGTGTGTGTGTGTGTACCACATGTTTCACCTTAACTTGCACAAAAAACTGTTGGCAGTGACACACTATTTCCTGTCAAACTTCGTTTTTTTCCTCTTGAAGGAACAGACAGAATAAAGAGGGTCAAATGTCTTTTCCAAATTAATCAGGGACTTCCTTCCTGGTCAATCTTTGCCTTTGACGATGTCTGTAGAGACATCGTCTCTGTGACTTCAGGTTGAAGCCGCTCATATTCACAGTGAATGAAACTCTGAGCACATCAGTCAAAACCACAGAGTCCCGTGCTTTACCGCTAGTTGAGCGTTTCTCGATAAGACGTGCATAAGTGATAGACAGTGAGTATGCCGGCGCATTAGCAGCGCATCTCATCACATCCAACAGTTGGTGGTGAAGCATACGAGCAAGCAAGTGAGATATTATAACTGAAGCATCTAATTTAGTGAGGAAATGCTGCATGACAAGCCGCTCCACTGGCTGGGAGTGATAGAGTTTGTCTGTTGTTTATGCAGCAGACCTCAATCCATTTGAGGGGAGATGAGAGTGAAGCACGAGAGACGTGAGAGACGGAGGGAAAAGACAGAAACGGGTTAACAACATCGTCTGGGGAGGTCAACTGCATCAGCCTTGTTTTAGAAGCAGAATAATGAAAGACATTGGTGAGACAATGTCCCAGTGTGGGAGGGATGAAGTGGGACATAGAGTGATGACTACGTAGAGCATCAGAAAAAAAGAAGTTGCATAAGACACAAATATATATTTGAAAATGAATATGTTTTTTGCATTTACTCCTGTATGTCAGTGGTATTTAGAACAGTTAATTATCAGAGGAAACTGGGAGAAGAATACTGTACAAAAGACATTATCAAAATCATGTCGGCTGAAAAGGCAATAAAAAAAATAGTATTTATCAATAGTATCGTATCATTAATTAACTGTTAAAATGAAACTAACTAAAAAGTTTCTGTGGTTCTGCAAACAAAGAGAAATACATTATTGGAACAAAAAACAAAAAAAATTGATTGTTGCTAAAAAAGACAAAAGCTCTCACAGTGAATATATATATTATGGCTGAAAAATTGAATGTTGCTAAAAAAAAAAAAACTCTCACAGTGAATATATATATTATGGCTGTAGACCAAGGTTAATTTATTAATCAGGATTAATGAAAAAACAACATCACATTCATAAGTATGTCCAAGGCTATTTCCTGTTTATTGCTGGAACAGAAAAATAACAGCAGGTGGATTAACACAATCATTCATGACAAATGATAAATTGATGGAATTATTAATATGGTGTAATTGTTAAAAAGAAAATACAAAAGTATGAACTTTTTTTTTGGTTAAAGTTGAGCTAGTTTTTTGTGCGATCTCTCTTTGTCTTTGGATCAAACTGTTTCTTGATAAACAAGGGATAAGGCTTTCGACAGTCTTTCCCCGAATTCTCGGTCCCTACGCTTTACCCCACAGGTCAAAGCTTACTTCCTGTTATTCTGACCCCCTTGTGTCTGTTGCTCAAACTTCACATCCATGACATTATTTCTCTGCTGTCCTGCTATGACAGAGTTAACGACCCATAACTGCTGCTCCAGAGGTCTTGGTATAAATCACAGCGGCTGCCTAAGTGTGTGTGTGTGCGTGTGTGTGTGTTACTTACTAGTCACTGAAAGATATGAAGAACATTCATTTTGCCCCCTTGACCCCGGAAATGCCAATAGCCTCACTAAGCGGTTTGCTGGTAAATGAGGTATAGAAGAACCATTCCATTCCCTGTCCTTTTTATCTACTTATATCAGTGGCCTCCATTTCCCATTCCATGAGAAGACATGTTTATGGATGTTGGTGATTTCTATTTAGATGATAGGTATAAGGGGTGTGTGTGTGTGTGGAAACCATTATGGAATTACAGAGGTCATAAACTGGGCTAGATGTATTTTAAAAAGTCCACATAATCAGATTTTAGTTTCACTTTCATTCTTAACGAAGAATCAATGTCGGCATTAAGAAATGTCAGGGATCTCAGTTATTCCTAAGGCCTGAAAAGCCTGCTCCTAATTACAGCATTACCGCAGCCATATGGTCAAATTTAAAAAGAAGTTAAAAGGCTATTTTATTTAACTGGAAACATAATAAATGTGTTACAGTGAATTGATTCAATCCTAACAACATTAGGACCAACATGTGTGCAGCTTAATACTGCGAAGGAGCCTGTGAAGAGCACGACAGTGTGTGGAGTCTGGGACAGAGTCTGGGACAGTCTGCCTCGGGCTACTTGTCTGCAGCCACCTGGAGCCACAATTAACAGGAGGAATGTCAGGTCTATTTAAACCACTGTGGTCTATCTGCTAACCTTAGGGGCATTCCTAATGATAACAGGAGGCTGGTTGACAAAATCACAGACATCCTTTTTCCGCATGTGTTCAATTATGCATAACATCATTAAGCCAGCACCACAACTGTTGACCATTTAAGATGATCTTAGGTTGAGCTTGGCACAAACTATGTTGTGCCGAGCTCCTATCAGGCGATCTATCCGTTCAAACTTGCAGAGTTCCCACAAGATGTTAAGAAATAAAAGAGCTGTACATTTTAAATTACTGGCAAATAAATATTTTGGTATTTGTAAAGCGGAAATCTGTATAAGGTTGTTGTTATTGTTCATCAGAAGCAACTAGTTAAAAGATGTTTTTGGAGTTTTGTATATATATATATTTTTTTTTTATTTTTTTTGCTAAACAAGCTGTTTTTTATTACGGAAGTTGTCCTTGATTTCAGATGTGGTAATGCATTTCCTTAAGCTCTGTGAGCTCTAACAGGCTGTGAGGAAGGATGTGGGGTTAAAACAAAAATGATTATTTAAAAAAATAAAAATAAAAAAGTACAAACTTTTTGCTCAGGTCTCAGCTCTGCTTGGAAGATGGAAATTTTTCGCTCAGGTCTCAGCTCAAAAATCTTTCAACGGGTTTTTTGAACATTATAATGTGGTGTAAATATGACTTGTGGTGTAATCGTCACTCTCCGCAGAGCCAGTACCAGAGTAATGGCATTTTAGGAACAATGTTGACAAAAACAAAATTAGTTTAACACTATGAGTTTAACACTCATGACATTGTGATCTGTAGTTAATTCTCCCACCAACAGAGGATAGTTTTGAATGATTTAAATATGAATCACAATAATGGTGATTATGATTTTTACCATAATCAAGCGGCCCTACTTCACGCTGCTCCTGTCATGACGTGACAGTCATGACACATGACTGTTGAGTCAAAAGATTTCTAACATCCTGTGACCTTGAAACACCCAGTGCTCTACAAATGTGATTCATGAGAGTGTTTTCCAAACACAGAGACACTTCATTCATCAGTAACTGGATATCCAACATCTGGTTGAACTATTATCTCATTGGTCAGCTAGAATTAAATCATTCTTTGCCTAATAATGATAGAGCAGAATTCAGGTCAAGGTGGGTTGTTACCAAAAGACTGTTTAAACTGCTGGGAAACTTTGTTCTGATTTGCTGTGATTGTGTTTCAAATGTTTAAGTTTTTCACTTCAGTTATTATGAGACAATGAGAAATCTGTTAATGACTTGTTAACAAAAAAAAGGAAACAAGTTTGTTGTCGTCAGACATTTGTCTCATTAGGCTTCACAACTTTAAGATGATTTAAATTAAACTTTAAATATCCTCCAAAAAAACATTTAAATTAAAGGTATACAGTCAATGTCTATATTAAGTTTAAAACTACTCAGTAGTTCGGACGCAAAATGAAGCCCTGAAAAGCTTCTACCTGGACAGAATGGTTAGCTTTTTATGATTAGCTAAAGAGAAACGCAGAGGGAATAACAAAACAGGAGGGGAAACCCTGACAGCAGACAACGTCAAGACCAACTGTCTCCCTACGTCCCCTGGGGCAAAGTAAACTGTTTGTGTCCAGGGTCGGGCGATGGATGATGGAGAATGGGGAGGGAGGGGTCAGAGACCCTATCAGAGTTGGTCTGAGAGGAAAGGGGAGCTTCAAGGCTCAAATTTCTCTCTCAACTTCACATACAGTCCACACACACACACACACACATACGTATACACACACACACCTATTGTCCTGGAGTTTCCGCAACTGCAGATTGAAGGCTGACCATCCACAGGAAGGTAAACAAGCTCTTATCAGTGCTCTGCAGGGGCCTGCACTGTCCCCTGGCCTCTAACCCCTGCATTCTACACATTACGCACGCCAGACGACCAACGCGTTTCCTGACCATCTCACCTCCGTCACCTTATTCCTGAAATTCCACTGAAAACGAGGTCCGATTAGACTTGTCAGTTTTTACGGCTTCAGGCAGTGTTTGCCTGTGTCGTGCTTCCAATGTTTTGCTAGCAGTGAACGCAGGATATGACACCGGGTCTGGAGACAGTCTGTCTTCACACTGGTTGTGTTTACACCTCTGGGAGCCATTCAGCCATCAGCTGTGGGCATC